GGTCTGTTCTTGGAAATTGGGTTCGTTTTCTAGGTAAAGCGCGTCGATATGGTGTGAGTCCGCAGCCGACTATCGCAATGCATTCAACCTCACGCCTAAATTCTTTTGTGAGCCACTTGCGCCCTACTGAAAAATCGTTATTGTGGGGGGGGGGGACATACATGTAAGCGCTTGTCAACATCCAAATCCAGTAAACCGTATACATTTGAATACCGGACAACCTTTAGAAACCTTATAAGCGTTGTTATCACCAGTCAAGCACCCTGGCAACTCCTTTCAAATTTCCAAGAAGGACTGATCAAACCTTGCAAAAAAATGGAGAACTGGCGTTTCAATGACGCCAGGACCATTTTGCAAAGCTTGACATGAGTTCACAGGGCACTTGAAAGAAATCTAGGGGACTTGGAGGGTGAGACGAGATTATGAAAAGACAAAAGAAAAAGCGATGGCTCCAACGTTACCAGCACCCCTTGATCCTTTGTATCTTGGGAAACTGTTGAACAGACGTGATCAGGATCCCAGCGCCAATGACGTTCAAGAGATCAGGTCATGAAGAACAGTGAAGAACAGTTAAAAAGTTCAGGAACTTCTACGAGGTATCCAAACTTCTGGACGGCTGGTGCTTCTCAGCAAGGCAGTGTTCAGACTTCGCGATGGCAGCGCTTCGGTCGCGCGTTTAACGCGATCGATGCAGTCGAAAGCATGCGCATCGATCGTCGAATCGCGCGACCGAAGCGCTGCGTCGCGAATTCTGAACGCTACCTAAGGGAGTGACAACCTCCAAAGACATCTATACCAAGGATGCAAAACTGGAAATCACGAAGCTGCGTCTGGCGAAAGTACTAAAGGCGTTCTCGAGTTTCAAAGCAGCGATGGCAGGCTTCACCTTCTCACGCAGTGCTGGAGCGCTTTCTAATTCTTACTGCGATGTTACTCAGAGTCTTGCCACAGTGAGCAACGTGAACTCTGGTGATGCGCACTATAAGAAAATGAAGCCTCACTCTCCTTACCCGATAGAAAGAAACAGGTACTTGACGGTTTTAACCTTGTCGTCCCGTCTTTTATTGTGGAACCGTTACTGATAGCTTCTTTACAAGGTCGTAGTTACCTCCATCCCCTCATCCGAGTTCCCTCGCCAATTTTTGCTCAACAGAATCCAAAATGCATCTTTCTTATCGGCATTTCCGCTGAGAACTCGTAGCAGCTCCAAGTGTTTTCACCCCGCGTTCTCCATGCAGCGTACAAAACAATACGGTTGATCGTGAGACCACTTCGGCGAAAAAAAGACAAAAAGTAGTTGTGCGGGAATCGTATAAAAACCATATGGGTCGGTAGCTTCAGCGGCACAGTTCGTGACGGTCGTATGGGAGGAGTCGGACCTAGCACTGCGCCTCCCTTCATTGGTGCACCTCTTCACCGTCTCAGGAAGCAAGGGCGCAACGAGGAGCTCACAGTGATGGACTTGGCTTCCTCCTCATTACCAGCGCTGCCCGTATTGTGGAAGGAACTAACCAGAGGAGATATCCGGTTTGCGTTCGCGGTCCCGTGCAAGGAACAGCATGAAACGCGGAACTTTTGCAAGCAAAGGAGAAAAGTGGATTTTCTGCCACTTGCACTGTGGTTGGTTTCCGACCACGCTGTGTCCTGGACAGAGTTTGACCACGCCCTTCTCGAGAGGAGCTCAGGTGAGAGCTGCTTATTTTCATGCCGAAGTTCCACTTCTATATAATTGATATCGTCGCGGTTAGGGTAGGGGTCGTTCTCAGGAGGCGTGAAAGGAGCCTCGCCTCCGGTTGTTCTACCGATAGTGGTCGGTTCGGAAGAAAACAAGTAATGGGAGCAATGCGGGATGGGCTCCTCCAGCCTCGTGACACCGCCCCGTAGGTTACGATGGTAACAACTGCACATGCATGTCTGCCTCTCTTCCGTCTAGACCGTCGCAGCTACCTACATGGGAACGCCCTTTTATATGAGAGATATTTTGCAAAATGGTCTGTGTGAATATCCGTTTGAAGTAGACCACTTGCGAGTAAACTCGTATCGGGTTTCGGCAAGTAAACTCGATATCCTTGAGATGGGGTGGGTGTGGCTACGTAATTCAACCGAACGTGGCGGTGGCGCGCTATTGGATGGGAATGAATTCATTTGTGGGACAATTGTAAATATATGCCTTTGTCCAACAGAGAATAAGATGACAGTTGTCTCAAATTGAAATATCCCACGAGTAGCCCACCCTACGCCATCTCCAAATCCCACGCCACTCCGTCTCACGGATAAGAAGTGTACCTCTTTCCAGGATCCTAGGTTGACACCACGTGACATCTATCCAACCCTGCTTTCATTTAAAACTGAACTGCAAACGTTCTACAGAAAAACTGGAATAAAGATGAGGAGTCATACTTGTCAAATCGGTTGGAAGTAGCAATATTGTTAGACCAAGTTCAAACCCCCTTCAAGGAATTTTGATGGTGAAAGATTTGGACTAAGGACTCGAACCCGCACTTCACGCTTGATGAGCAAGTGTATGTATGTAGTATCCTCTACAATTTGTGGTACCGACTGCAGCGCGCCCCATTGCAAAAACTGTGCTCCCCACAAGATCTGAATATGAAAGCGGGATTTCAATGTTAAATTTCCCTTCTTGCTTTTGCCTGAAAATGTCATGACCGTATGTGATGCGTGTTGGTCGGTCCTTTCAAAAAAACAATAAGCTTATAGTTGGTCGATTTAAGATTTTCAAAAAGGCTTTGAAGCTTGTCTGGAAGCTCGTTTGTCAAAGAATTTATGAGCAGTTTTCAAGTGAACAAGGAGATCCCAACTCTCTGGAGGATTTTTTGGCATTTTCTTGCTGTGTTAGCCTTGAATAAATACTCTTTCGAGCTACAACTAACGCCAAAGCTGACTAATTTTACCAGTGAAAAGGTTTGCAAAATCAAACGGACATAAACCTTCGTCCTTCTATAACTTTTTGTTCAGGTTTTCTGTATAAGTAATTCAGAACTAGATTTCCTCTTCAATAATCAGGTGACACACAATTGGTCTGTTTTTTTTTAAAAAAAGTTGTTTTTCAGGTAAAATATGGATTTTACCTCAAGCGAAGCGGATGATCGCACAAGGCCTTTCGATTTTGACGTATCACACAGGGATCTTATTCATCAGGTTAGTTTATGGGCTACTATTTTTCGGATGTGTATACAACTTAAAGATTGCTATGTGTCGCTATATCCGGATTTACTTTATTCTCACTGGAATTCGAGAGTTTTCTAAAGGCATATTCCTCGTTCATGTGATGGACAGACACCTTCCCTGGAAATGGTAGTCTGCAAGCATGGCGGATTTTCCTACTTTAGCCACTGAAAAATGAGCGCGACCCACTTGTGACAAAACCGCGGCCCTGCCTAGGCCACAACAACGCCCACATTTTGTCTCTCAAGGCTTCTTGGTGGTGCGGTTGTTCCACTACTAGCGCTCTTCGTTCCGAATGGCAAAGGTGGGGTTGATAAGGGGAAGAGTTGGCACTGCAACTGAGATCTCGTCCAACCACGCCCTTTCTTGCCAAGTTGCAAGTACATGCGCGGTTCAGCAAGAGGCTCCTTATGAGGTACTTCGGGCGTATATTTCCGCTTTTTCTTCCTTTCTGTGTTCTTTACCATCTTGCAATGAGATATGAGTCGCACAGATTACCACTTTAAGTATCTGTCTGAGGAGTGGGGTCTATTGCTACCAGTGTCCGCAGTAGAATATTGATGACTCCGCTGGCTCGCATTCAGGTAGCGTTTGATCATCATGGTCGACGTTTAGCAACATGCTCCAGCGATATGACATTATCAGTGTGGGATCGAGGATCAGACGGAACATGGACCAAAGCGGCAAGCTGGAAGGTGGGCAGAATCCTACACTGTTCAAGTAGTATACCTATTAGCGTTTCATGCATGTATATTCAGATATAAAAGCGAGAAAATGTAGTTTTTTTGAATGTTGATTATTTCTTTCTTTGATGTTATCGAGCCATT